CCCGACCCTGGCCCCTACATAATAGTGTCGAACACATCACCTTCTCAGAAGGTACGACTGGATCCCTAGGGCATGTTCTTTGATTAACACGCAATGCCATGTTGTGAGGTTGCTGTTGTCTTCTTCCTGCTCTGTCTTTATTCCTCCGCACGTTTCTTTGATAGAAACGGATCAAGGCCGTGCAGCATCTTGTGCAGCTCTGTCGGAAGGGGATCCAAGGAAGCCGGTTTGATGTGAGACATCATGAACTTGTTTCGATGTCTGCTCCCCAATGTGTCGTGATTGTACAATGCCCTATGTACTACCCTGCCCTGGTGAATGACTCGAGGATAAAATTATGGTTTCAATTCATTCAACCCCCCCCAAAATCTCTGGGCTGGGCCGAATACAATTCCTTCACCGGCTCAACTGGACATGACGGATGGTACAGTTACTTGACTGGCTCACAGAATCGATTTCAGTGCTTGGGGCGTTCCGCTGCGCATCAGGATGGCACTAACGTTTATCTTGAAATGCAAGTCATGGGGAAATCCTACAGAAAACTCATGGGACATGTGGACTTTCCGAGCACCGAAGATATGAAGGAGGAAGCCCAAAAAAAGACCACTATACCGGTACCATCGGAGTTGAGCTCGCTCTTTGAGCCAGAACAAATATCTTTGCAGTTGCACAGGTTGCTCATGGGAGTGGACAAATCCACAAAGTCTTCCTTCGAACCGAAATCCATGCGCCCATACGGCCGCCCCCCACCATATTCTGCTGCATCATCTCGTCCAGAGTCTCAACAGCCTGAAACAACGGGCCGCATGGCCGAAACTGCTGCATGGTTTTTCGGGTCGAACTCGACCGAAGGAAGAGCTTCACCAGGTGCGTAGAGAGGACCGTTGCCTAACAGGGATCCTGTTCTGGCCCGAGTTGACCCTGTGCCCAATGCGTACGCATGCGTACGCCGTGAAGGCGATCGACGGGAAGACTGGTACCTTCTGCCACCAGCCCTGAGTGTTGTAGGCGACGATTGCAGCGGTGTAGGTGGCAGGTGTCCTGGCACCGATATACAATGCATGAGGTTTCTTTGGTTCTTTGTATGGAATCCACAAGGCTGGCTCTACCGTGAGAAACCTGTTGTCCAGGAATTTACGATGAATATAGGGGTTATAATGCTGCCAGGCTAGGAAAACATGTTGTTTAAGCAGTTGGAAGGTAATTTATTGATAACACATGATAACACTTGCTTCGCCTCCACCGATTTGTTTGAAGCCAAATGTCGATGATCTAACACTGAGCTGGAGCGATGTTCCAAAACACCAACTAACATGGGAATATTAAAACAGCTGAAGCTTTCTTAGCAGTCTTAGCAAGTCTTAGCATATCGAAAACACATATGACACGGACAACAAAAGCAACGACGACAACGACGACAACAACAACGTCCAAGGCCCGACCAAACAACTAACGCGTGGAAAGAACGCCAGCTTCACTCATCCATGCCCCTGCCCTGAGTGCGCGCGGCGCGTGCGTTTTTTTGGAGCTAAACGAAGGTAGGAGCTTAGAGCTTTGAAGCAAACTCAACCGCCCTGTTGTTTTGTGCTGTTTGGGGTAGAGCTTTCATGGTATTCAACAGCTTCAGAGAAAACCCCTGAAGTTGGGATGTGGGACTTGAGCCCAGGAATGCTGAAACGACTTGAGCCCCCATCAGCGATGTGGCAGGGCGGGGTTTTTTAGGGTGCCATGGAACCTGTTGAAAGGGTGCCCTCAACTTAGGGGCTGACATGAAACTGCTTTATTTCTGAGTTTGTGAGATAAGAATGTCAAATGAGCTTGGCCCGAATAACCACTCAATACAGAATCATCTCTTACAGGACCAAACTCAATGCACAATCCCAACTCCTGATTGTAATACATTTTTGCTAAAGCAAGGAGAACTATAGCTCAAGCTACCTTTCGTGACATGTTGAAGGCACTCCCCACAAAATATAACCAACTGGGCTGCGACAGCCTTTAATTCCAGTCTTCCGTGTTGAGCGGACCAAATATACCAAATGCTAAGGATGGTCGGGTGTTTCCTCATCTTGTTGAATATACATATAGTTCCGGAAACCACACTCGACCCCACGCACCGCGCAGCTTCTCCACACGACCTCGACACTTCTGACGGTCCCCACGCACCCCGTCCCCACCGTCTGATGAATTCGGTCGGACCTACCGGTGGGATCCGGTGACGGTGGAGGAGGGACACGGTGGGTCATGACCCACTATTGCGGTGTTTCGTGGTGGGAATGATATGGAAAAACATACAACACTCCCTGGTTTAGGGTTTAGGGAAGTGGAAGATTTTGCCTGGGTTCCTGGATTTCTTCACCATCAATGAAAGGAACGGATGTGCACGGTATGTTTCAGGAGGGTACGCATCTGCACCAAAAAAGGCTCTGCCAGTCTCTTGCAGCTGAAGGGCACGCATCTCCTCCCAAAGTTCGATGGACTCCTTGGGACACTTCACCTGAATGCAAACGGTTGTTTTTTACAGCAGGGATCAGGCCTGATCCAGTCTGGTCCAGTCATGGCACGTGAAGCTGTAAGGACCTTTCTGGGAATGCTCCGGATATAAATGATATGATGATGCACTTTGCGTTACTGGACTAGCCCGAACCATGGCATACTTGTGTAAAGATGTGTAAAGGTCCTTTACCATGGTGAGAGCTCATAGACTCATAGACCTCTTTTATCTGCAACAAATTTAGGGAACATCACACTCTTCGATGAAAGAAATAGAACTGCTTGACCAAGTGCTTTTCGTTGAGGCCTCCAGGTATTCAAGACACTTCGACAGGCGGTCGGAGACCGCAGGTGCTTCAACTCGAGTTGAAGCACCCTGCCACCATCTGGGCATTGAAACCAAGTCTTGACCAAGACTCTAAACCAAAGCAATCAAACGAAACTACCAGGAGTCACAAAGGGGTGGTGTTTAGTTTGTAAGTGAGAGGGTGGATGTTCTGGGCAACCCTATCCTCCAAGTTCGGCACCCCTAGCTGCTACGCATGTGTCCTTCAAAGGCTGGCCGTGCTGAAACAGCTGCCCTTCGACCACCCCACCTCTGTCATTTTTTTTCATGGCGCACCTCGGTGTGCCGGTGCCCTTTGCCCGATGGGTCGGTCCCTACCACTCGGTGGGGGGAAAGGAGTCCACTACACGGTACCCACGGTGCGTTCGGCGTTCGGCTCAACCAGTGGCCTGGCGGCGCTGGCGTCTTCAGACACATCCCTGCCCCCCACGCGTCAAGACCCTCTACACATCGTCCCGAGTGTCCCGAAACGCAGTAGCAATCAAATGCTAACCACTCTTGATCTTCAGGATGGGCATATGAGTACCATATGGAGCCATTGGCATCGTCTTTCCACCACGGTTGTTCCAACTCTCACATGCAGTCACATGGGACAGGAAACTGCCCGCAACACATGGGGCCTAGCAACGTAGCGGCCCAACGAACGGCCCAACAACCACAAGGACTGCTGACCAGGGGTTCTGGGACCAGGACGGCTGCCCAGCACCCCAAGGTGTAACATGATAAGCGTAGTGGGAAACCCATGACAGAATGCGTAGAGAAGTTTTTTTGGACTTCGAATCAGGCCGAAATAAGAAGAAGAACACTTTTCCTTGTGACCAACAGCCACAAAAAGCAGGCTTAAGCCACTAATAAGGGGCAACTGTTCCACTTGCTTGTTTTGGCCATATCCATTTTCAAAATAAAACCATTGTGAAATGTGCAAGAACAAGAACAATAACAAAAGAACAACAACAATTCGGAGTCCTTTGCTGGTCTTTGCTGCCGTGAGTTGAACAAACAGCAGCAAATTCGGGCAACAAGCTACATGCAGCCTCCGCCACAAACCCGGTTGAGATTCGTACATATGGGGGTCAAGAGGACATGCACCGGCCAAAACTCTGGCAAGCAAACTGATCCCAGTTGAGCACATGCGTACGCATGGACTCCCCTCCGGACTTCCCATCTGAGCTGATCCACACATACTCCCAATTCGTGGTGAGGAGCTTACGCCTCGGGGGAGGGTGGAAGAAAAGGGACTGTGGATCCACAGAATCGCAGCTGGTAGACTTTGAGCTAAATCAACATCTCGTGTCGATTTAGAATAGGAGAAAGTGAGGGACCTGTCGAACAAAGGTACCAATCATAAAGCAAGACCGCCAAGTCAGTTCCCACCCGGAAAAGGAACTGCCAGAGTTCACAGCTGGTGCTCTTGTGATCCAAAAAGGGATCCGACGCTCCAGTCCAGGCCGGATTGAAAGGCTTCTTCCATCCATGGTGCGGATGATCAAAGCTGAGGGACCGTAGATGTGCAGTAAATACTTGTGTCTTCATGTATTGTATATTTAACGTAGTCTGCAAACAAACTGAAGGACTTAGAACCTATGGACCAGGACCTATGCATTCTATGCATTGGTACAGGTAGTACTTCCAGTGACTCTGTGATGCATCTTGATACTGTGACAAGTTCTGGGTGGTCCCCCTTTTCCAAGGATTTTGCTGGGCATGCAATGGGAGCTGCTTGGCTGTCTCATGTTCCGAATGACTCTGGACGGAAAAAGATGTGGATGACTCTGAACTGAAGAACAGGACGCAACAAAATCCCCAGGTCGTCGAACAGGTCAAACAATTAAAAACCCACACAATGACCCTTGGCCGTGGCCCTATGGAGGGGGCACTATAAGGAACAATGAGTCGGATGTCGCGGAAGCGACCAGCCGACAAGCTGCTGATTGAGGAGGGAAATCAATTCTCTCCACTTCTGGTGCCCTTCAAGGGAAGCACATGAATGGTCCTCCACATTCCTCTACTGAATATGTAGTGAGAAAGGGATAAATTTTCAGAGGCGTTTCTCTTCGGCTCAACCTCACGTAAAAAGTAGGAGTAAAGTTACTTTGCATGGTGTCAGTGTTAAACGCGACCAAACAAGCTTCAGAGAGCTGCTACATGTCTTGTGCAACCATTTCTGATCACTTCAGAAGGATTTCACACCCTGCCTCTTTGGGCAGTTGGTTTCGAAACGACAGGCATTGAAACCTTTTGCAATTCATCTTTAGTCTGACACCAGTTCCATGATGGTCTCATCAAAATACTGCCAGGTCTCCCTTCTCAATCTTCTTCGAAAAGGGACCAGTGAGAACACAAGGGACAGCAAAGAACTTGAGATGACAGTCACGTCTAAGAACGACCAAGTGTCATTTGAAGGTGGAAAGCTACTGATGTGCATTCCGATCACCAACAGGACTCGTGGAGCGTCACCCCACATTTGAAGATCACCTTAGTGCTGGACTAGGTGACAAAGGGCTACAAGTAAAGCTCCATGTCTGAGAGACATGGCAAATCATTGACCTGAACAACAGCAAGGTCTAAGCTAGTTTTGCAGGGGAACAAACCCAAATGTCGTTAGTTCAATATAGTTCAACAATTCCACGCTGCTGTGTCGAGTATATATATATATATATTATATATTGGTGGACCCATCTTGAATGGTCCTTTGTTTTGCCTCAGCCTGGTTCAAACAAACAAAGAACAGAACAGTGGTGCGGTTGTTGATGAAACCCTCTGCCCAGATCACGTGCGTAGATCTCGTAGAGTGTGAAGGACTGAGTCTGGATGGGATAGGGTGGATCCCAAGAATGGCAGCCGCTCACTCGCAGAAGCAAACACATGAGCTTGCAGGAGGGGGCCAAAGGAAAAAGTACACTCCAAAGCATCACTGCAGCTGGCGCCCAGAGCCAAATCACACCGCAACACCAGCTGAGCACGCAAACGGGAAGCCCCAGGATAGCACCAATACCAACACATTTTCTTCCCAAAAGGAAGCAATGATACCTGTATGTCCACACAAAGCCTGGAAGCCACAGCGTTGCAGCCAAAGAAATGCACTGCCACATATTTTGTTGACTGCCTGCGACAATGGTTAAACAAAGTGCAGAAACCACACTGACACATACGACTATCCAGTAGCTCATCATGAGCACGGTCAATTTACAAAGCCCACTCAGCTTGGCAGCGCGACATGTCAACTCAGCTGAGGAGGCCCTACCCAACACTTCGTGCTCAAAGTCTTTCGTCACCCACGACACAACTTTTACAGAGCTGTAGTACATGATCCTCACTTGGCCAAAGGAGGAAATAACACTGACTAAAAAAATGCCGGTGTGTTTCCATCTATATAATGACTTTGTCACATCTTCTTCAAATTGGGGATCTGAAGAGACATCAAGAGACCAACAAAGTGGTGTTTAGCGTGCTAAAGAACAGCTCGTGAAAGCCCATGGCTAAGGAAGCGCGCTTGTTCTCCTCTTCCACTGCAAAGGTCAGAGTTCCCGCATCAGCTTCATCAGCTTTGTGGCGCTCAACTCGCCATGTGTCGTGTTCAAACAGGCAGGGAGTAGAAACAACGATCTCATGATGGCACTTGACCTCAGCTGTTTGTGCGACAAAATATGTGTGTTTCTTGTAAGAAACACTTCAAGAAACAGGTTGACTGAATGAAGGTATATGAATGACATAAGATTAAGAGCAAACTTGCTCAAAGAGACCAGGAAAACGTGTAAGGTGACTTGATTGAATGTTTCACTTACACCAATTACACAAATTGCCAGGATGATTCAGTTGTCCTGCTGTGTTTCTGTCTTCCGCGCCCACCTGGTACACGGCCTCGCGCACTTCTCCCGGCTCAAACTGCACTGACAAGCCCAGCTCCGCGGCAGCGTGGGCTGCCGCTCGATCTGAGCGCTCCACGTGCAAAATCCGACCTGGATCAATGGGCACATGCGAAGAATCCAAAGGTCCCAGCAAGACTTGAAGATCCATGTCACTGAGTGGAGGCCAAAGTGTATGCCTGAAATTGCGCAGGAAGTACGAAGGAAATCAGACATGCAAACAAAGATGGTTTCAGAATGTTTCATGTCAAAACGTCAATTTAGCACCCTTTTGTTTGACATCTTCACTCCGAGAAAAAGATAATTGAAACAGCTGAGTGGCAAACTCGCCTTTGGATCCAGCTGACTTGTCCCTTGAAGCAAGGACAGCCGGTGGGATGCCACCTTCATCATTCTTCCAAGATGATCCACCAAGTCCTCGACCAACATGGACTGCACCTCTGGCATCGTTCGTTCTAAGACCAGCTCTCCAGCCAGGTTAAAGACTCGAAGATGATACGAAGCAGCACCGATCAAGTCAATCCGAACCTCCGCCGAAGCTGCACCGATCAAGTCACTCGATGGCCAGGGCCGGCCAAAGGTGCCATCATTGTCTTCATCTCTCACATCCGCTCTCGCCATGGGTCAAAGCTACGTGGCAATGTGCAGCCCCCGAACTGAAGACTCTCAGTTGACCACGTTGGTCAACTTGACATATTGAAACCACGTGGGTTGAGAGGTTCGATGGCACTGGCACCCCAAGTGAAGGTGGTGCAATCATGGACCCCTGGACCCCAAGAATCAAAGACATCGACTGGGGTGCCAGGTGCCACTCTCAATCCACCCAGGTGCGCGGAACGACCGGCAGCATGATTCCCTACCCTGTCGATCTTTCCTGTAATAGACAACCTGCTTTCTGTATTGGTGCTGTCAAGTTGAAGCGTTCCACTGGGATGGACACCCAAATCAAGTGAAAGAATCTGGACATGCTCGCACTTTTGGGACTGAAAAACGTGGTCAAGGATGTTCCACACGATGTTCATACCCACAATGGCAGTAACACAACCTATATAGCAATACCATGAGCAAACAATGCAGGGCAGTCAACCTAGTTTGGAGTGCTTTGTTGGACCCATTTTCTTGTGATATCTTCTTGAAACACCATGAAAACAACTACCGTATTACTATTGCAAACAATAGAACATACAGTAATAAAGCTCTGCACTTGGAACACCAAAGGTCTTCATATGCCACGATGCAAACATGTTCCCCCTGTAAGATCTCTGGAAAAATGGAGCCTCACACACAAAACAGAACAAACAAACAATGTGTCATCTTCATCCCTTGCATACATTGCTCATCATTGCTCCAATATAAAAGGAACTGTCCACCCACAACAATACAGCCACACACATATGACATCTTGATCAGGCCAAACTCCTTGTTGGTTGCCTTTCAAGGGCAGCCAAGCCAAGGGAGGCTACTTGGGCGGCCACGTCCCACGGTCGGTCGGAGCCCCTTGGCGCCGAACGCTCTCATCAGCTCGATGGACCAGCGTGCCTTGTTGGCTCTGCATAGAGGATCCTGGACAGGGGGCAGGTAGGTGGTGAGGAGCACAGGGGCAGCACTGCAATTCAGTGCACGATTCAGTGGAAGTGGCTGATCAAATTGATCCAAAAACATGACATTATAATGTCTGTGTTCATTTGGTGAAGTGATGAGGTCCAAATGCATAGGAAGCAAGTGCTTTGGTACACCTGTTTTTTCTTATCTAAAACACACAAAAAACAAAAATAACATATCCAAGCTTGCAAAGACATCATTTTCTGACCTCAGCTATAGGGCCGGAATTTGGGAGGGTTTAGAGTTTAGAGGATCTATCAGGGTGACACGCACCATCCCCAAGGGTAGGGCAGGTCATCGTAGGTCATATATTGTGCATGGACGACCATCCCAGATGGACACATACCGGGCGCGCTTCCTGTCGGGGTGCTTTAGGTCTGGAGACCTGTATATAAGTAGTGTGGAGATATCCATTGACCCGAACGGAAGCAGCTGGTACAAGCGCCACAAGCCTGGCTGCTCGAGCGGCCCCGAGGTTCACCCCGGCCCCGAGGTTCACCCCAGTCCCGGAGATTGGCGATCAAGGCCTGCTTGCTTCGCCTCGGAATCGAGACCGACTTACTCGGGGGAACCAGGTATTCCGGAGCGTGAAATGCCACAGGAAGAACAGGTACACTAAAAGTGAAGATCCAATGGGTTCTGCCATGTTCTGCCATGTTCTGCTTGGTGGTCCACAAGAGTGAATTCGGCGATCCACTGGGAGGACGTTGCAAAGAGAACATCACCAAGGACGTGCAATCTTCCAGAGTCGTACCGTCGAAAGACGAACGTCCATGGAGTGTCCGCCGTGTACACCGCTAGTCAGTCACAAAATACACGGGAATTGCCACAAGGCACATTAATAAACTTAACTTACTTTAAATTCACGATATAGGAAGAGCGTGGTACAGTACATGACTGACAAGTGACATCCATTGGTTAGCTTGGCCCTGGCTTCCAAACAAAAGGCTACTAGCAGGATTGGCTCAATTCAAAATGCTTGGTCAGTTGGGCTTTCACTAGTGGTTTCCACTTGACCAAAAACACAAACATGCTGCTTGTTCATTGCTATTAGACGTATTTGATTGGAGGCCATCGCTACTAGGTTGGAGGCCATCGCTACTAGGGTGGAGGCCATCGTTACTATGATGGAGGCCATCGTTACTAGGGTGGAGGCCATCGCTGCTAGGTTGGAGGCCATCGCGATTAGGCTGAAGGCCTTCAGTCATGTTCAGTCTGATGTTTCACTTCAGGTCTGGATCAACAGCAACATGCCTTCCAGATCCTTCCGTCGCAACCCCTTGACTCGTCCGAGGGCGTCGGCACACTCGGCCGGATGTTGCTGTAGCGCTTGTTGATCGGTCGGTTAGGCCTCACATCGGAGTGGACGTGTAGATGAACATGTCAAAAGGTAACTATGATAGTTATGTTTGAATGAGCACACCCAAAGGGATACAAAAAAGGGGTTTGGCAAGGCAAACACCATCCTGTTTCTTCCATTGGATTCTATCAGGGACCATCGCCGTCAAATCATTCTTTGGGGTGCTTTCCAACTGGGTGGCAGTCAGGTGCCGTTTTCAGAGCCTCGGCCAACATGTTTCAAACAAGCATACTCAGTGCCACACTCCCAACGATCAGCCTTTAGAATAACCAAGTCAGCCATCAGAAAAAACAAGCTGAACATGCCCGAATTATATAGAAAACAAATTTGACAGTTCAGGCTCAACATAGATCACCATGCAGACGACTGCCCTGAAGTGCTGGAATATTAATACTATGAAATATTTCACAATATGAGATGAGGAACTGGAAGCAAGTGAGGGTGCAGCATTGTGCTTGATCCTAAATCCTCCCACACGGCCCAGTTGAAATCTTGGCCCCTCAGTTCTGAATGGCCCAACCCCTCTCCCAAATCACCATGAAGCAGCATATGAGTTGATGGGCATCGTTCTGCAGTAAAAACCACAGGTCCCAGGACAGTTCATTCCAGCAACGAACTAGCATTCAACGAACCAGTTCTCCTCAAGGAGCCTTTTCTGAGCCTAGCGCCACGCAAAGGCGTCATATCCTGTCTGAGGTGCCGCTCGGCGTGTCTCTGCGGTGATCAGCTTATTCGGAACCCTCGTCTTCCCTTGCAAACGCTTCCTATATTTCCTGCTTCCCCAACTCCAAAAGGGTTCTGTAAACCTGAAGGACAAACAGAACAAACAAACTAGGACAAACAGAACAAACAAACTAACTCTATGACGGGAAGAAAATAAGTGTTAACACACACACACAAAAATTGCATATTGGAATCTCAAAGTCAACTTGTTGACAACCTAAAATGACAACCTAAAAACACAAAACACATGCAGCAAGCACCTGCGCAGGCCAAAGCAGCTGCGCATAATGCCAATCTGATGATGCGACCCATGCTTCCATTGACAGTCTACGGTTTCCTCCTTTGCAACCGGAGTCCTGTTTCGTCATGTGTTGTCAAAATCTATGTATTGTATGTGGTAATTCAAAGGCAAAAATTGCCATGGCTTCTTCAGCAACTTGCTGCTAGTGCAGTCCAACTGACAAATGTTCAAGCTCCAAATGGTATCACATGCTAAATCTTCTGACTTCTGCCAAGTCAGCACAACATGTCATCTGTGAGGTTATGAGCTCAAAGTGAATCTGACATGTCCCTCCGAGTGAACTTATCAGCACGAACAAATGGATTCTCGGCGGTGCCGCCACTGCAAGTTGCAGAAATCCAGAATGATATTTAAACAGTGTGAGACAAATAACTCCAAAAGTCCTACCCCAGCCTTAAAAGTCACCGTTTTGTATGACATGTTGTTCTCTTGCGCTCAAGATTTGACGCCTTAGGCCCCCCCCCAAAAAATAGTATATATATATATATATCCTTAGTGGCAGGCAGTGTTAATCAACGAACCGCTCAAGCTCGGTCTGGTCTGGAGTAACTACCAGGCCGGCTCCAAACAGACCGTGTCGGTATGGCTGTTATGATGGTTGTGGCCGGAAGAATGCCAAACTCTGGTACACAGTGGCCAGAAAGGTTGTCACTTGGGTTCTGGTCTCATTTGATCATCACAAGGTTTGATCATCCCTGAATCGGCAAGCGACAAATACGTAGTGAAATCAAACTGTTCTGGCCAAACGCATTGGTTCTTATAGTCTTTTCTGGAAGACACCACTGAAGTAGAAATTGATGGTTCCATCAGTTCCATCCATTGAATAGTTCGACCGGGAAAGCGATGTGGCCGTGGCTATGCCGAGCGATCCAGACACAAAGAAGGTCGCCTCAAACTACAAGCAGCTGGGGCAGGTTCTGCCAAGACCGTTCGACGCGTCCATGTTCTGCTTTTGATCTCGGCATTTCGGCACCTGGAGGATACCATCCCACATGATTATCGTTGAACCTCGGTAGTTTGAGTCGGCCTGGGTATATATTTGGGTGACTCCCAGGCTCCGCTCTCGGTCTGGTATGCTTCCAGTGTCGGTCTGAGACGTCCAGCGCCCATCTTTGATGGTCTCCGCGTCCGAAGAATCGGAACCCGCTGGGACCGCATGGCAACACCGCTCCTCTCGACCGCTCCTACAAGCTGAAAACCACTGGCTTGTAAAGGAAAATCGTCTTCCAAAGGCCCCTGTTCATCTTCCCGGGTGTGTCATCTTCGGACAGGAATCGCTGAGTTGCTAGCACATTGGCGTCTTCTCACTGGTGTCGTGCGGGCCCGCAGGGAATGTTTGACCTGAGACACCACGTCAAGCGACGCCCATGAGTTTTGCCATTGGATGGTCAGCTTTTGTTGGCGTCCTACATACCTTTGTACTATATGGAAAAACCAAGGGGGATGCTTGCCGTAAACTGTATACTTGTGTCCCAGCTTGCTTGTCTCCAACGGAGTCGCAGTCCTTCCAAAAGGGCTTTTGCAGGCAAAGGTGACCAAAACATCCCCAAACCTACACTCCCGAAAACCAACATGGACCCTGGCAAGGGCCCCCTGGAAGATTGTGTTCCTCTACCAACCAGTGGTTTTCAGGGTCCATGGTAGTCTTCCATTTTCCTGGCCGTTCCTGCCTGGCATGCCTTGGGCATATCCGTCAGTGATACCTTTTCGGCTCTCCACGGAGAAGATCGGAGAAGCGGCTGCCACCATCTGCTTTTTTTGGTTTCCTTTAATATCTGTGAGTCTGTGAGGAGCCGAACCAAGGTCAC